TGTGTGTGTGTGTGTGTGTGTGTGTGTGTGTGTGTGTGTGTGTGTGTGTGTGTGTGTGTGTGTGTCAGTCCTGGGCTTGAACTCAGGGCATGGGTGTGTCCCTGAGCTTTTTTTTTTTTTTTAAAGTTGTTCTTTTTTCCCTCAAGGCTAGTGATCTACCACTTGAGCCACAGTTCCATTTTCAGCTTTTTGGCCGTTCATTGGAGATAAGGGTCCTATGGAGTCTTCTTCCCAGGCTGTCTTTGAACCATGATCCTCAGCTCTCAGTCTCCTGGGTAGCTGGGACGACAGGTGTGAGCATCAGTGCTCAGTCAAGTTCTTTAGGAACAATGATCACACAGGGACTCTCCCACGTGAATGACCTTGCTTTAACTTGACAATCCCTTCAAGGGCCCCATTTCCAAGTAAGATCACATGGCAAAGTTCCCTGGGTTAGAATTTTTACACATGAATTTTGGGAGGTGGCGGGTCAACCCGTCACACCATCATCTAAAGGGGACAACTTGTGCCTAGTAGATATCAGAAGCATTTCTTTGAATTTAATAAATCAACAGAACCGTTCAAATACAGAATGCTCATTATAAGCCAGATACTGGCCTAGACATTTTACCCAGGCCAGTGCATTTAATCCACCTTTGTCCAGACAAGGGAGACGGAGTGAGGGGATAACCAGCCCAATGCTGCACACAAGTCAGCAGAGCCAGTCTTCAGCCTGGGCATTTAACTACTGTACCCCCACCCCCGCCATGCAGCTGAAGGATGCATTAGATGAAACACCACTGGGAATTTTCAAGACCTAAAAGTCACCAAAATGAAAGAGAAAAAAAACCCAACAAGTTTACATGGAAGGAAAATATCACTTCATGGTAATTTAAGCATCCCCCCTGGAGTCATGTCACAGGAGTTAGGAGCAAAGACCTCACCTTCTCCCCGGATGGCACGAAAGGAAAGCCAGAACACTCCTGTCTCCTGTTCTTAATTAATAACCTCATGATGCTGTGGCAAGGTGAAAAGAAAAAGACCACTGTTAATGAGTCCAGCCTGGCAAGTAGTGGTAATGACTTGGTTATTAGGTCTAATACCTTCTAAATTCAGTCCCATCATGGCCAACATACTTAATTGGCAAGATTACAAAGGAGAATTAAGGGGGAAAATGTTGCTGTGTGTGGCAGAGAAAAGACGTTGGAAGAACCTTGCCTAACCGGCAATCTATGAAGGAAGGGCATGAACTAGAAGCTTGGAAGATAGACTGCCCTACTTACAATTGGAGCCAATCCAGAGTCTGTGGTGCTACCCAAAGGGAAAGGGAGATCTGGGAGGGGGACACACTCAGACTCGGGTACACAAGTGAGGCTTCACCTTGTCCAGAGTTCTTTCCAAACTACGGTTTCTGAATAATCCCAGGAGGTGAATGCTTGAGTTGCAGGGTAGCAAGCATAGCGTGCCGTTCCTTGCATAGAGTTTACTTTTCTAAAAATGTCAGCAGCCATAGGCATGATCACAGACGGCCCCAAGTCACTTCTCATGATGGCTTGCTGGTCCTCTTGGTAGAATCTTGAGGAGCAATGATCTTGGAAGAGGCTCAGTTCTCCTGGGAAGCCAGTGGATTTAGCAGTAGTAGCTCCTTAAAAAGATTCATCCAAGTCCCAAACCTGATATACTTCAGGGGACCTCTCTAAAGAAAGATGTTAGCAGATGAAATCCAGAGCCCTAACTCCAGTGACAAGCCCTTAGAAAAGAAGGGAAGGGAGAACAAATAGAAGGGGCAGGGCAGAAGGCGGCATGAAGATGGAGGCAGAGAACGGAGTGGAATCTCCACCAGGAGTCGGTCGACCCTGAGAAGACAAAGCAAGATGGGCCACTAGAGCTCTCAAGGGGGACACGCGACCCTGCTACGGTCCTGACGTAGGATTTCCGACCTCCAGAACCATGGCAGGAAGATGTCAGCCAGTTTATGGAACTTTGTTATGGCAGTCCCTGGAAATGACTATAACAACAATGATAATAATTCATTAGGAAATGAAGATAATTTCAGTATCACCAAAGGTCAATGCGGTCAGGGCTGGTTCTTTTATCCACCTCACCAAACTCATGTGCATGTGCAAATAAATATGCTGGCTGGGCCTTGCTCTCTCTCTCTCTCTCTCGCTCTCTCTCCCATTTTCCCTCCTTCCTTTCTCTCTCCTTCCTTCCTTTGGTTTTCTTTCTTTCTTTCTTTGGTTTTCTTTCTTTCTCTTCCTTTTTTTCTTTCTTTCTTTTGTTCTCTTTCACTCTTTGTCTGTCTCTCTTCTTCCTTCTCCCTATCATTTTCTCTGATTCTATACACAAATAATACTAGTTCTGCTGTATTGTAAAATATTATCAGAAACACTTGAATTTGCTGCATGAATAACCTTCAACTCAAAATCATTAGGCTCCAATTGCCTTTTTGTGTGTGGGATTTGAACTCAGAGCTGTGAACTGTGGCTGTCCTTTAACTTTATTCAAATCTAGTTGCTCTATCACTGGAGCAACACCTTTACTTCTGGCTTTTTTCTGATTAATTGGAGAGAAGAGTCTCACAGACTTTTCTTCCCAGTTTGGCTTTGGACTGTGGTCCTCACATCTTAATATCCTGAGTAGCTAGGATTACAGGCTAAACCACCAGTGCCCTACTTCCAATTGCTTCTGATATGATAAATTATGTCCATGAGTTGTGATTTTTCTTTAAACTACACATCAGGCACTGTGGTATACATAAATGCACTCAGAGAGACCACCTTCAGCTGTTCAATCAAGTTTGGTCAAGTTACTAACTACTCAGAATCTCAGTTTTAATGTTTCTGAAACAGAGTTGATGATATCACAAATATCTATCTTTACAAATTTTATGACAACAATTCATATAGGAGGTCTCTGAAAAGAGTTGTGATTATCTCTCAATCTGAAAGCATAAAAATGTCATCACCAGCGAAACAGCAACCCCTTTGAGTATTTATGTCGTTATTTCTTTTAAAAAGATAGAATGTAGACTCTAGAGCAAGAACTTTTGGTTATGGCTACAATGAAGAACTAAGGACTGTATTTATTTATACTCTGATCTTAAACAAGGAGGAAACCAGACCAAAATCCATTAGGTATCAGCTTTCAGCCATTACACCACAGGCACTTCAGGGCTGAGATCCCTGCAGAAAGGAAACAAGTGAAATCACCCCTGTGATTATCCCAGCTTACTGCCT